GTGTGTGTGTGTGTGTGTGTGTGTGTGTGTTTCTGAGTATAAGCTCTCTCCTATCTTATTTTTAAGGTGGGGTTACTTTTGTTCCTACCACGCTGCATACTTGAGGTTAACTGGCCTGCAAGTTTCCAGGCAATTCTGTCTCTGCCTCCCATCTCACTGTAGGAGTGCTGGGATTACAGATGTGCACCACTGCACCTGAATTTTTATGTGGGTTTCAGGGATCAAACTCGGTTCATCAGGTTTGTGCAGCAAATGCTTTGACCCACTGAGCCCTGGCTCATGGTTTCAAAGGGTTCGGTACATGGTTGCTTGGCCTCAAGCACTGAGGCAGAACATCATACAGCATTGGGAGCATGTGGGAGCTCATCTTGTGGCAGACAGGGAGCAGACAGATGAAGGGATGGGGGACACTGTACAACTTTCAAAGGCATACCTACCCTGGGACCTGCTTCTGCCAGGTAGGTACTACTGTCTAAAGTTTATAGCACCACTAACTGGGGAGCAAGCAGTCAATGTGGAACCCTATAGAGACATTTCATATTAACTGTAACATTCTATCCCTAGCCCCCAAAGGCTTGTGGTCATCTCATAACGCAAAATGCATTTAGTCCAACATGATTCAAAAGTCCAAATTTAAAGTCCCTTCTAAGACTCAAACTCTTAACTAAGCCCGTTGTAAAATCAAAAAGTTATATATACCCAAGATACAACAACATAGAGTAAGCATTCTCCTTCCAGAAATGAGAAGAATGGGGGAATAATAATGGAGGATTGGACTAAAGCAAGACAGAAACTCAGCAGGACAAACATTAAAGCCCATAGCTCAGTGTCCAGGATTGGGAGCATGTGGTGCCATGATGTGACCTCCACCAGGCTTGGGAGTCCTGCTCCTCTGGCCTTGCCATTTGCACAATGTGTGGCCGCTCTGGGGGAGTGGCTCCACAGGGGCTTTCCTCAACAGGTGTTCCACATTCCTAGCATCTTCATCATCCTAGGGTCTTTGTTGCAGTTTAGCTTCGCCCTCACAGCTCCATGAACCATCCTCTCAGGGGCCACCCATAGAGACCTTGTCACAAATTTCCTAGCTTCCCAGGTCTTCCTTGGAAACTAGGATTGAAGCCTTCATGATCCCATAACCCTTGTATTCTGGACACCTGAAAATCTCATGTCACATGAATGATGCCAAAGTCTGCCACCAGCTTGAGTGTAGCTAGGCTATTGCTGTAGTAGCCTCTGAGTGCCTGGGCTGTTGAGTCCAAGGAAGCACTTCACTAGGTGGTCCTGAGCTTACAGACACCAAAGGAGCTGTCTTCTCAAAGCAAAGGCTTTCAAATGAGTTAAAATCTTCACCCACTTAATCCTGCCCTGGGTGGGAATCAGCTAATTCCTGAGATGAACTCAAGACATCTTTTCTATTGTCCTAGTGCTAAATAACTTGCTGTATTAAGACAGGCTGGCCTCAAACTCACAGAGATCTGCCTACTTCTGCCTCCCAAGTGTTGGGATTAAAGCTGTATATCACCATGCCAAGGACTACTTGCTGTCTTTTTAATGACACCATTTTCTCTGTGTCTGAAGCTTTAGTTGATATCCTTTTCTGCCAAATTTCATGATTTCTGCCAAACATCTATCTACCTTGCTTTTTGCTCCCAGTTTTCACTGTAAACCTGGATAAAAGCCACCAGCAATAGTGATACCACAGCCTGAATGCTATGCTGAATTTATAATAAACTTTTTCTCTAGGTCACTTTTGGTCGTGGTGTCTGTCATAACAACAGAAAGCAAACTTGGACACTGGTGTTCTGAGCATCTATTAGGCTATGTTTATAGCATTTCTAGGATTTTTCTAGTCTGTGTCTCCAAATTTCCAAATTGCTTCCACAAATCAGTTTCAAAGACTCAAGAACCACATGGTCAGGTTTAGTCACAGCAAGAACTCCACTTCTCTGGCACCAAAATTTGTACCATTCAGGGCTCTCAAAAGGAACAGAACCAAGAGAATATTATATATATATTTTATACATATATGTATATATTTGTGTAGTCATAAAAGGGGACCTATTGAATTGGCTTACATGATTAGAGGCTGATAGTCCAACAACAGTCATCTGCATGCTGAGGAAGCAGAGAACCAGTAACTGCTCAGTCCAAGTATCTGGAAGCCTCAGAACAATGGGAACCAATGAAGAAATTCCAGTGTGAGGTTGAATGCTTGAAAGCGCCATGGGGGATGAACAGTGTGAATCCACTTGGGAAGGCTGAAGAAGCTGGAGTCTGATATCTAAGGGTAATGGTGGCAGTAACAGACACACTCGCTAGAACAGAGTTCACATGCATGGGCTGATTCCTCTTCCACTTTTATTCTGCTTGCCCCCGCCCCCAGACTACTGGATGGAGTTGTACACATTCAGGGTGAGCCTTTCTCCTCCCAAAGTTGCTTTCTCACCTGTCAATCTGGTCTGGAAATGCCTTCATAGAGACACAGAAGTGTGCTTTTACTAATCCCTTAGACATCTCTCAGTTCATCTCTTAACCATCACAACCTCCTTCTAACTTCAGAGGAAAAAAGATTAATTAGTGGTCAATGTCAACTTCTTCCTCTTCCAATCTGTTCACTTGTTCAGATCTACACTCCCCGCCCCTTTCCTCAAGAATCAAAAAGTTTTCCCTCACTCAGTTCAAGTTCAGTCCTTCCCGATGTCCTTGACTTCATCTCTTCTTATTTTCTTAGGGTCTTGTAGGTTTTGTGTGTGTGTGTGTGTGTGTGTGTGTGTGTGTGTGTGTGTGTGTACATGCATACGCACATCAGTTACTCCCTTTAGTAATTTTAATATCTCTTCTTCTTACACTCTGCCTTACCCATTATCTTGCTCGAACATTAAGAAAATTCCCCCCATGGGACTCAGAATGCATCTTTCCAGTTTCTACTCATCACCTCTTTTCCATTTTGAACTTCCTGCAACAGTCCCCAGCTCTCCCACTCCCAGTCTTATTTCAATAAACTACAGTCTAATTTCTACCCTTATTCTCTTTAAACTGCTTTCACTGGGTTTGCCAGTGCATTCCCAATTGTTAAAGTATTATCAGTTATTTACTGGATTCTAGTCTGCTTTTGATTGCTCTCTTACCTATTCATGTGGATTCTTGGGCTTGGCTCTGCGCTCAGCATTCTATCAGTTCTGCCTGGAAGACTCTATCCTCTCTCCCAGATTCAAGTGAAAAGGAAAATCTTAGTATCTAGGCTCGTCTCAGAATGGCATCTAAGGAGTAAACACTTCTAGCCATAGAAAGGAACTGTTTATCTGTCTCCTGTTAGGTGCTTAGCTAACTGAAAACTTTTTTTTCTTTTACAGGAATGTTTTTATTAAACTTTTCTTTATTCATCATGTGTATGCATGTGTGTCTATTTGAGTGTATGCCATGCATATGCTAGAGGCCAGTGGAGGTGTCAGATGCTCTGGAGCTAGAGTTACAGGCAGTCATAAGCCATCTGACACTGGTGTTAGAAACCAAACTTAGGTTCTCTAGAAGAGCAGTAAGTGCTCTTAACTACTGAGCATCTGCCCAGCCCTGACAAAAACTGATTTTCTTATTTCTATAATTTGGGTTAGTGTCCTCCAAAAGCCCACATGCTAAAAATTTGGTCCCTAGAGTAGCCCTATCGGAAGACAGTGCAACCTTTAGGAGACACAGCCTAATTGGGGGGGGGGGCGGTCTTTAGGTCACTGGGAACATGTCCTTGAAGGGGATTGTGTGACACCAGCCTCTTCCTTGTTCTCTTTGAGCTTTCTGACCATGAGGTAAGAAGTTTGCTTCACCACACATTCCTCACCTTTGCCACCTAGGATTGCCACCAAAAGCCATAAGTCTGGAGCCAGAGAGAGGGCTCAGTGATAAGAGCACATACTCCTTTTCCAGAGGACCAGAGTTCAATTCTCAGCGTAGCATCCACATCAGGTGGCACACAACTACCTGGAACTCCAGCTACTGCAGGATCCCACACCTCTGGCTTCTGCAGGCACATGCACTGAACATGCACATACCCACAAGTAGACACACACATAAACATAGTTAAAAATAAACCAAAGGCCGGGCGTGGTGAAGCATGCCTTTAATCCCAGCATTCAGGAGGCAGAGGCAGGCGGATCTCTGTGAGTTCAAGGCCAGCCTGGTCTCCATGGTGAATCCAGGACAGCCGGGGCTACAGGGAGACCCTGTCTCAAAAAGACAAAAAAAATAAACTGAAAACATTTTTTTAAAAGCCATGGATCCTTCCCATCTTCTACTGGAACCTCTAAAACTATGAGCCAAAGTGAATGTGTTCCTTATAAGCTAAGTATCACAAGTGTTTCATTATAGTAATAAGAGCAAATATCTTAATATTTGCAACTTTTTTTTTTTGTTTTTTGAGACAGGGTCTTGCTGTGTTACCCAGACTAGCCTTAACTCAAGACAAACTCCTGCCTCAGCCACCCCAGTGCTAGGCTTATAGTCATGGGCCACCACTCCTAACTTTAATTGCTTGTAAAGCCTGTCACAGGATACATATAATAGGTGTCTGTTGAACAAATTATTCCATATAAACTTTGCTTCACAAATGTTCCATCAGTTTCTGTTGATATGTATAAATGTTTACAGAAATATTTTGAGTACTGTACAGCAGGAAACAATTTTTGGCTGGGTAAGACTTGGTGAAAATGATAGTGTCTGAATAAAGTTCAGAAGCAGGAAAGGGAGGGGAAGAAGAATAACATTCTATTACTAGGCTAGAGACTGGAGGACAGCAAGGAAATGAAAGGAGAAAGGGAAAAGGGGAAGTGGGAAGAAAAGAGGAAAGGAAAGGGAAGAACGGAAGTCAAAGGCGGCATTCTAAGCCTGGGTGATTAGAGGAACTCTATTATTCCTAATCAAAAAAATCTTCTCTTTGAGCAATGACCATTAGACAGTATTGCAGCTTACCGACCTTCCTCACTTAAACACATCATCAACAACAACAGTAATAATAGGAAATATTATTAATGACTTTAATTTGAATTTGTGTTTGCTCTCAAAAAACCATCATAACTGGAAGGGAAAAGCACATCAACACTGAGAGGAGTACACGATGCTTCAGGATGGATGGCATTCTACTTCTGGACCCAGCTAGCACCCAGTTCTACCAAGGTAGCAATCATTTGAACAACCGGAACTTTTTCAAGTACTGGCTCACTTCTTCCTTGGGGTAAGGCCGGAGCGCAATGCAAGTGGCGATGTCCTCTGGCTGCTCAAGCCACAGCATGTGGTCAATGTTCTTCTCCTGCAGGGTTCCAGTCAGCTCCTTCAGGGTACTCTCATCTGGGGCCTACAAGTTGCAAAACACAGAACACAGACTCAGTAGCCCATTTAGGAAGTATCAGAAGGTCACCAAAAGGTGAAGGGGGCTGTTAACGGAAACTGGAGAAATGGCTTTACCAAGGAACTGTCCCCTGGCTTCCCTCTCTGTGGGATCCTCCATGGTTCCCAATATTTTTATGGCTGAAGCCCATAACAGCTTGCCCCAGTCCTTCAGCCAACTATAAGCTAACCATTGGAAGGAGTTCTACAATTACATGCCCCTTCCTCTCTCACTGTCTTCCTATCAGGCCCAAATCTACTGCTGATTGAGAATAAAGCTGTCATCTCAAAGGGAGTAAGAGACAGTTTATTCTGAGTGAAATATGAACGAAATATGGCCTAGGAACACAGATTCAGGTTGCCCTGAATAACAAGTTCCAAGGTAGGAATGGTTTCATGAACTCTTTATAGTTATAAAACAAAAGAAAGGCTTTTGCCAAATACATTGGTAGGGACTGCAGGTAGGTGGGTTGCAGCAAAGGAAAGAAACTACTATAGATTTTAGATACTGTTTGATGACATTCCTAGCTTTGGGGTTGATGGAAGCTAACGGACTCTTTAAGAATTCATTCAGGGGCTGGAGAGATGGCTTAGCGGTTAAGAGCACTGACTGCTCTTGCAGAGGACCTGGGTTCGAGTCCCAGCACCCATATGGCGGCTATAAACCGTCCTTAACTCTAGTTCCCGGGGGAACCGAAGCCCTCTTCTGACCTCCACAGCATTGCACGACACAGGTGCACTCACCTACATGCAGGCAATACACTCATACACATAAAATAAAAATAATAAAATGTTAAAAATAAAAAAGAATTCATTCAGAGGTTTTACCTGATGATGTTAGGTGAGATATGGAGGTGGGCAATGAATGACCTTTTAAAAAAAATTTTATATGTTTGAGTGTTATGCCTGCATGTAGCTAAGTGCACCTGTGTCATGCAATGCCCACAGAGGACAGAAGAGGCTGTCGGATCCCCTGGAACTGGAGTTACAGACAGTTGTAAGCTGCTATGTGGGTGCTGGGTCGAACCAGGTCTTCTGCAAGAATAATGATCTTAACCGTTGAGACATCTCTACAGCCCCCCAATGAATGACTTTTAAAGAAACCGGAGGGACTGGAGAGATGGTTTGGTGGTTAAGAGCAGTGGCTGCTCTTGCAGAGGACTGGGGTTTGATTCCCAGCACCTACATGGTAGCTAACAACAGTCTGTAACTCAAGTTCCAGGAGAATCCAACAGGCTCTTCTGACTTCTGTGGGCTTTGCATGATACAGGTGCACTTACATACATGCAGACAATACACTCATACACATAAAATAAAAATAATAAATAAAACATTTAAAAAACAAGTAAATGAAACCAGAGATAACCCAAGATAATTTGGCTATGGATCTGCAACGCTCCAGTTCTCCACAACCGTGAAGTTCTAATCAATCAGCCTTGGAGATTCTTTAACATAGGTGTGGCTTTTTAAAAAATTTTATTGAGCTTTTGTAATTTCATACAACAGTTCTTAATCAAATTTAGACCCTCCTCCCCCATCCATGCCTCCCATTCCCCCAAGTGTGGCTTTTTTCTAAGAACTTTAGTTCACACTAGAAAGGCTTGCCTTCTGCTAGTATACTCTCTCTTATTGAAGGGAAAACAAACTATCACTAGTACCCTTCTAAAACATGTGAGCCATGGCACACATTTGGAAGTCAGAGGACAACTTGGAAGCATCAGTTGTCTCCTTCTACCATGTGGGTACTAGGAATTGAGCTCAGATTTTCAGACTTGGCAGTATGCACCTTTACCCACTGTCCTAATTTGCTTTTCTGTTGCTGTAATAAAACACTCTGACCAAAAGCAACTTGGGGAGGAAAGGGTTTATTTCATTTAACAAGTTACAGTACATCATGGAGGGAAGCCAAGGCAGGAGCTTGAAGCAGAGGCCACAGAGGAATGCTGCTTACTGGCTTGTTCCTAGGCTCAAGTTCAGCTGCCTTTCTTATATAGCCCAGACCCACCAGCCTAAGGATGGCACCTCCCACAATGGACTGGGCCCTTCTACATTATTTAGCAATCAATAAAATGTCCCACAAACATGCCCACAGACCAATCTAATGTTGGAAAGTCCTCAAATAAGGTTCCCTTTTGGTGTGTTGTCAGTGAATATTAGCATCACACCCGCTGAGCCATCTCACTGGTCCCTACAACCTTCTAAAAATGTTTTTGGAGTACACATTTCAGGAGGCTCATGCTGATTCCATTTCAGGCAGAAGCCTAGGCTCTGGCAGTCTCAATGCATCAATTAAAGAGATAGATAATAGTGAAAAGCAGAGAGAAGAGATTTAATCAATGTGACACATTGGGAAGAACAGATAAAGGGTTCAGTGACCCCGAGTCCATCTTCAGGGTGCTGTCTAGGGGAAGGGGCAGCAGGAATGCATCATTAAGTAGTCCTGGTGGAGGTGGGATGACAGTGAATCTGTTAATTATGGTCATCTCCAGACAATCTACTCTGGGGTTCAGCCCTAGATACCTGTTCTCATTTTGATGGTGATCTGTCCTGCATGCTTCTTGTTGCTTGGGGGTGTACAGTCCCTTGTTACAAAGATGTTTATGGATCAGTCCTGCCATTCCTGGAATCCAAGGTGACCAAAAGGAAAGCTTAAGGACATGTCTCAGCCTTGAGGGGGATGACATAGGTTAGGAAGAGTCAAGGAATCGAAGCCAAAGGAAGGGGACACAAAACAAAATCAGAGAGGCCAAGCTTTCATCCTGTTTTTAGATACTTTGTGAGCCCAAACAAGGACTCAATGCTTTTCGCAAAAGCATTAGTTAGGTAGCTAGGTAGAAATTAGCAGGCTTGGAGGTCTTTGAAGATGGAACCCCCTCATAACCACCTTCAGGTCCCACTTCTGTGTCTCTGTAAACAATTTAATTTTTAAAATTTTTTTTATTTATTATTTTTATTTTATGTGTATGTTATGCCTGCATGTAGGTCAGTGCACCCATGTCATACAATGTCCGCAAAGGATAGAAGAGGCTGTTGGATCCCCTGGGACTGGAGTTACTGACAGTTGTTAGCTGCCATGTGGGTTCTGGGACTCGAACCCGGGTCCTCTGCACGAAACAACCGGTGTTCTTAACCGCTGAGCCATCTCTCCGGCCCCAAACTAATTATATGGAAAGGGAAAGCATCATAATTTCTCTCCTTAAAATTTAAAATACCATCTGATGGGATAGTTACAGATTAGACAAAGGGGAGGAAGATGGCAGTGGCAGGACTTTGTTGAGACCAACCAAGGGAAAACTATTTCTTCCTGGTAAAACATGACTATTCTGAAAAATATTTTTACTAATTTTTAGAGAATTTCATACAATGTATTTTGATCATATTCACCCCAACCCCTTCCCTTAACTCCTCCTAAATCCACCTCCACCTCCCTATCCCCCTTCCCCTTCTGTCCTCTCCTGTTGTGTGGTTTTTAAATAACTCATTGGCTGGGCATGGTAGCACACACCTTTAACCTAGCACTCAGGAGGCAGAGGCAGGCGGATCTCTATGAGATCAAGGCCAGCCTGGTCTGCATATTGAGTTCCAGGCAAGATGGGGCTACAGGGAGACCCTGTCTCAAAAAACAAAAGAAAAAACCCTACTGACTCCAATTTGTACTGTCCATATACTCCTGGGAGGGAAGTACTGTCCATATAAGCCACAGGAGGGGAGTCTACCTACAGTGGGCCACACCCTTGAAGAAAACTGATGTTCCACCTCCCAAAAGCCATCAACTCTCCATAGCTTCTCAGGTGTGGGGGCTCAAGATGTGGCTCTTCTTCTTTAAAAAAATTTTAAAAGTTACATTTATTTATTGTGTATGTGCCTGCATGTACACACACACACAGGTCAAAAGGTAACTTGTGAGAATCAGTTCTCTCTGTCATGTGGGTCCAGGGATCAAACCCAGGCTATCTCACCAGACTTTCAATTCCTTTTATTTTTTTATTTATTTGTTTGGTCTTTTTGAGAGAGGTTCTCCCTATGGCCACAGCTGGTCTGAAATTTACTATATAGACTAGGCTAGCCTTGGGCTCACAGAAATCCACTTGCCTCTGCTTCCTGCATGCTGGGATTAAAGGCATGTGCCACTACCTGGCTCAATTCTTTTTAATCTACTCTATTACATGATGTTTAGTCAACAGAATAGGATCTAAATTCTAACTCTTGCTCTGGATGGAACATGACTTTCTGAAATGCCAAGAAGATTAAAAGATTACTATCTAAGGGCTGAAGAGATGGCTTAGCAGTTAAGAGCACTGACTACTCTTGCAGAGGACCTGGGTTTGATTCCCAGCACCCACATGGTGACTAACAACCATCCATAACTCCAATTCCAGGGGATCCGACACCCTCTTCTGACCTCTGGCAGGCATTGCACAACATGACTGTACTTACATATATGCAATACACTCAGATACATAAAATAAAAATAATAATAAAACATTTTTAAAGCTTACTAACTAACAGGAGACTTCTAGTGAAGAACATCTTATTTTCCCATCCCTTATAAGCATAGAGACATGGCTCAGTGCTTAAGATTCTGAACCCCAGAGGACTGGGGTTCACTTCCCAGCAGCACCCATGTTGGGTGGCCCACAACTCCAACTTCAGGGTATCTGATCTGACACCCTCTTCTGGTCTCCAAGAGCACATGCACTCATAGGCACCCCACACACACATACACACATAATTTTTTTTTAATCTTTAAAAATTAAAAAATAGTTAATCCAACGCTACCTGGATGGGAAAACACCCCTCAGAAAGCTGTCAGTTCCAGAGATGTTAGAAAGCAATCTTAAGCTGAGGTAATCATAAGTTGGCACCATGGTCCCTTTAGCCATTGTCTACTCTCACTTCTGTTTACCCCCTCAATGGTCTCTCTGGCCATCGTCTGTTCGTCTCCCTGAGAGTGTGTTCCTGTGCCATGGTCCTTTGGTCATTGCCCACTCTCACTCTTGAGAATGCTTTATATGATTCTGCAATAAACTTCATTTTCTACACATTTTTGTTTTTGTTGTGTTTTTGAGACAGGGTCTCCCCAGTTGACCTGAAACTCACTAATGTAGACCAGGCTGACCTTGAACTCACCTAGAGATCCGCCTGCCTCTGCCTCCCTGGAATTAAAGGTGTACACCACAACACCTGGCTTCTACAATATTTTTATGTGTCTCATATGAATTAAATGGCGATCACAATGATCAGAGAGATTTGGGGAGGCCAGAGAAATCTCAGTAATAAAAGAAGCTTCTAAGTGCCTGTTACAGTGTTAAAATTCTCACTCAGAAATAATTATGTTATTTCTCACAAGATGCCCCCACCATGATGGTAGAAACAACTAAGATAACTGGCAGCTTCTCTTACCAAGTTAGAGAATATTAGAATTGTCACTCAGTCACCAAGTCGTTCCAGCAAAGCCTCATCAACTCTCTCTAGCTGCATTGGGCATAATACATTGGGTCAAATGAGTCTCTGAGTCAGACTATGGGGTTTCAAACTTGCTCTGCCGCCTGCCAACTGTATGACCTTTGATAAATTATGTGGTTTAGCTGGGGCTATTTCCTTTGTGAAAGAGGAATAACAATGATTCCTTAGCGTATGGCAGAAAAGTAGGGACTGGAGAGAGGAGCATCAAAATTAACATATGAAAGAAGCCAGTTAGAGATCTGGAAACCCTTTCTCATGTGAGTTACATACAACACACAATGGATGTGTGGGAAAAGTCTGTGATATACCAAGGTTAGGGAAGCAAGTGCTATGTAAATGACCTGTAAAGGTCATGATATTCATGGCCCAGCATCTTTGAAAAGTGTGTCTTTTCTTAGCTTGCTCATGTACGCCTATTCTCTGTAGTGTCCTTTTCTTTCTTAATAAATGGTCTCTATTACTAACCATGTGCCCTGGTACAATTCTCTGTCCTGGGACACAAGAACCTGGAATCTTCAATGGGTGCCACCAGGACTCAGAACTGTGCCTATCACAGTAATAGGATCCAATGAATTAGACTAGGACCTGTGCCTGAGACATGCATGAACAAATATAGTTAATCTTGACATTTATTGGTCCTATGGCTATAATAGCACCTCCATTTAACCAGTAATTATTCCTAAGTCCTTTTCTTTAGTCATAGCTGACAACTTGGAATCATCAGAAGTCTTTTAGGTCAGTGTGGGCTTCAGATATCTCATCTGAGAAAAAGAGGTCTTGAATCAGGTATGTATGAAAGACCCCTTTTTATGAAAAGAATATAGGGCTGGAGAGATGGCTCAGTGGTTAAGAGCACTGGTTGCTCTTGCAGAAGACCTGGGTTCAGTTCCCAGCACCCACATGGCAGCTAACAACCATGTAAATCCAGTTCCAGGGTATCTGATGCCCTCTTCAGGCCTCAAGGATATTTCATGCACATGGTGCAATTACATACATGCAGGCAAAGCATTCATACACATAAAATAAAAATAAATGTTTTTTAAATATAAATGAAATTCAAGCTGGGCGTGGTAGTGCACATCTTTAATCCCAGCACTCAAGAGGCAGAGGCAGGTGCATCTCTGTGAGTTCAAGTCCAGGCTGGTCTACATAGTGAGTTCCAGGACAGCTGGGGCTACAGGGAGACCCTGTCTCAAAAAGACCAAAAAAAAAAGAACATGCCATATCCAAATAAACACACATTTCACTTCACCTTACGGTTGCCACCAAAGCAGTAAAGAACTCTGTGTCCATATCCCTTCTGAGTTGGTTTACAAAGGCGGTGGTACTTTTAGGCACAGCTTTAAAGCGCAGGCCAATCACTGGTAAAGACCAGGATACACTCCGCCAGCTTCTCCCTCCCAGGAATTTACGAAGGGACGCCGGAATGACCACTTTTTGGGGAGTCCAAGTAAGTGCTGCGATGCTTGTAACAGCAAGTTCGATATTCACTCTTCACTCAGACCCTGCCCAGAGCTCGAGCCCCAGAGCTTAACCCCGAACCTAGTTATAGACTCCTACACTCAAAACTCACCCACCCCAGAAGTCAGAGTTCTGATTCAAAACCACACCCATTTCCTCTCTTGCGTCCTCAGCTTCCCTCCCGCACCGCCCAGACAGCTCACCTCGAGAACGACCTTGCGCATGCGACCTAGGTCCCGGAGGTAAGCCACTGTGTGTGGGTGGTCTCGATGAAGGTGCAAAGCTGCGGTGGCTGCGTGACAAGCTTGTGCTACCAATGCGCCCGCAGGCCAGGAGAACGGAGCCTGCGATAGGTCCTTTCGTAGCACTAAATACTGTACCAAGATCTGCGGCTCCGCCCCTGAGGCCGCCATCTTCCAGACCATCAGACTAGCCGGACCTACTCTGCGGTGCATGCTGGGATTAGGGTGGAGCCATGGCCGCCGCCATGTTTTTGTACGGCGGAGACGCGAAGCATGCTGGGAGCGGTAGTTGGATTTTGATGGCGCAAATGGCGGGAGTTCTTAAACCCTGTGCTGGGTGAGGAAAAGGTGAAGAGGAGGGAAGACCCAGGGACAGAGGGAATTGACCAGGGTGGAGGATTGAGCAGTCTTTTGCAGCTCCTTCCGTACACAGTGAAGTCCGGCTGGACCGTCGTGGCCGCAACCTTGGAGGCTGCGGAGCTGCGGTGAGGTAGGCGTGGACCCAGCGGAGCAGCCCTAGGAAAGGGAGGCCAGCGGGGACATCTTGTTTATCCCGGGCCTTCTGAGTTTCTCTGAGTGGCAGTAGGTATGACTTTGTTGTCGTTTTCCATTTTACCATTAAAGGCATCTAGGTTCCTATTAAACTTGCCCGGGCAGCTTCATGAGAAGGCGCTTGAGACCCGACAGGAGATGGAGCCGGTGAATACTTTATGTCAAGACGGAGAATCCGAAGGAGGTATTCAAAGGGTTGGCTTTCCCTATATTTTCTGTTGTCTAGAAATGGCCTGTACGTTGCAAGACCACTTTTCTACTTCAACTCATGTGGACTATTAAGAAAGCAGGATGGCGAAAGGAACCGAAATGAAGAGTTAAAAGGATAAACAGCCAAGACTATTAAACAAGGAAAAATTACTTAATGTATTCTAGATTTTGCCTTTTGAAGCTTCTAGATTGCCGTTATAGTATACTCAGTGTTTATATTCATAGCTACAGTCCTAACCAGTGAGACTCCTCTTTTCAGACTTATTACCTCTGAGGAAGGGCCACTCTTGAGGTTGTATATTAAGTATTTGATTATTTCCATGAACTTAAAGTAAGCCATTTAATACATGTCTAATATGCAGGAAATATAGTTCTTCACATGCTATGTAAATAAAGCATTTAGCACAGGAGTCTTAACATAGGAAATCTTCAGAAATTTATTATTGGAGTTGATTAACATTATGACACTATGACCTTTACTGTACTGGTCCTTAGTCATTTGGATACTGAGATTTACCAGTCTGTTTCTGTCCAGAAGTGGGGTTGCTTTAACTGTTTTCTTTATGTGTAGACATACTATGGACAGTTCTTATTTAGGGTGCCTTTCCAGTGCTATGCTACTCAGAAGGAGTTTTGAAGTCCTTATTCAGCCTTGTGTCTAAACCCTAAGGATTATACAATTTTGTGACTTTGTTTTCCTCTGAGTCATTATGTTTTTTGCATGTTGGAGAATATTAGAAAAACTTAATCTGGTCATGCATAAGGGTGCATGCCTTTAATCCCAGCACTCAGAAGGCAGAGGCAGACAGATCTCTGTGCCTTCAAGGCCAGCCTGATCTACATAGAAAATTCCAGGCCAGCCAGGGCTACGTAGTGAGACCCTGTCTCAAAAAAAGCAAGAACAAAACCCTTAATATAAGATAATGAACAGTATATTGGTTAAAATTTGTTACTTCAAAAGCAAAAATGTGTGTTAAACTGTTTGGAGTAACCCATTCTCTAGAAATAAGTTACTGTGTAGCCCAAGTTGGCCTTGGGGTCAGTGATTCTTCATCTTAACCTCCTGTGAGCCACCACACCAGGTGCTAATTTTGCTTCTTTTAAAACAAGTAACAAGGTAGAAGTTTGGAAACAGATACAGCAGATAGAAAGGATAATGCTAGCCTAGGGCTCCTGAGAAAACAAGATAGCAAGCAAGACAGATGCAATAAGTAACCATCAGAACAAGTACAATATGGTGATGCTGCATATTGTGTGTCTGTTTCCATCTTAGACTAGTTTTATGTATGTTGTTTAGTGAGAGTTATACTAGTTATAAGATACCTAGTATTAATGACTAGTCTTCATAAGAGTGGCTAGTTTTGATTGTATAGGTGATTGAAATAAGTTTTTGGATTGTCCCAAGACAAGTAAAGAAAATACATATTTTGGGGGCTGGAGAGATGGCTCAGCAGTTAAGAGCACTGGCTGCTCTTGCAGAGGACCTGGGTTCAGTTCCCAGCACTCACATGGTAATTGTCCATGACTCCAGTTCCAGGGGGATCCAACACCCTCTTCTGACCTCTGTGGGTATTGCATGCACGGATGCACTTACATACATGAAGGCAATGCACTTGTACACACAAAATAAAAATAATGAATATTTCTTAAAAGAAAATATTTTGTGAATCTTTATTTTACATGTGAATATGTAAATAAATATTCTTGTGAACTCTACAAAATAGTTATCAGATTTGCATAAGGAACCTTATTAAATGATGTCTGGTTGTTAAAAGCATAGGAAGGGAGATTTCATCTTGTTTGTGGTAAAGCTATTGAGAACCATCCTTTTCCACCCTAAAGATGTGCTTTTCTGATAAACTGGGCTTCAGTAAAATGATGCTGCCTACAAAGCAATAGACAACTCAGAGTCTCTTGTTCTCTTTGAATAGTGTCCTGGTTAGGGAGTGCTTTTACATTGGTGTTCAACCAGAGAGGTTGGTGGTCTTTGATCTGGGCCTTAGATCCTCTGGTTATACATTTTATGACAGATAACGTAACAGTTTAGCTGGCCCCGAAATCCTGGGTGAAAGACATCACTATTCATTCTTGAAGTGCTTGTTGCCAACATTAGAAACCTTTGTCCTCTTGTGAAATTCCTTTTTTACTTTTTTCAGGTGTTTTAGCTCACTTGGAAAAGCTAGAGGTGCAAATGTCCAGGTCTCATAAAAAGTCTGAAGAGCTGCCAAGAGTTCAGAGAGACGAAAATGTTCTTAGAACCAAGATTCATGAGCTGAGGCATCTGCGGGATAAACTGAGGGCTGAAGTGAAGCGACGGCAAGCCAGAGTGAGTAGACACATAACATTGTCAAGGGCAGGCTTTCTTTGGGTATAAAGAGCAGTCAGGATCTGGAAGCTGGTATGTTTGTTGTCAGGCACTAGTAAGGGGTCAGGCAGGTTCTTCTTTATAGCAGTTCTCAGCCTTCTTTCAGAGATAGCTAAGCCTGTTACTCAATCTCAGTAGGTCTGAGTCATTTATACTTTTGTCATCAGTGCCATCTTTCTGTCCCTAGTTTCAAAACTTTACAATGAACATTGATCATTCCTTCTTTCTGGTTTCCTCTCTAGCCAAGGTCCAGTCAGCAAACCTCTCGAATGTTCCTTTGTCACCTTTGTGCCTACTCCCTCCTCTGCAACAGCTTAAGTAAATAATTATCAGGTGGTTTAGGTACTGGGATAATTATAGTGATCTGGAGGTTGGGGTCTCTTTTAATAGTCCCGTTTTTCCAGTATATCCTACAGGGTCAAAATGTGCTACAAAGCACCACATTGTTTCCTTGGCCAAGTACTGTCAGTAACCACTCATTCATTGCCCAAAGTTATCAATAAGGCCAACCGTCCTTCTTTTTCTTTTCTCTCTGATAACCCTATCCTCCTGGCCCACTCTTCCTCTCTAATTTCCTTTGCTTTTTATTGAAGTGAAATATATGTAAAGGGAACAAATGTAATGGACTTTTTAACAAAGAGAATACAACTAAGTTTTTACCACACAGATGAAAAGCATAGAGCATTACTAGCACCCCAGAGTTTTCCCTCGGCTCCTTCTAGTCACGTCTTTCAATATAACCACTGATCTAGTTTCTGTTACCAGAGTGGTTTTACCTGTTCTCCAACTTTGTTTCTGTGTTTTGAGACAGGGTCTCACTACTTAGCTAGGCTTGAACTTAACTTCAGTTCAGGCTGACTTAGACTGTATGATACCCTGCCTTAGCCTCAGAGTGCTGGGATTATAGGTGTGTGTCACCATACCTAGCTTGAACTTTATATAAAGTGTAAAAAGTATAAACTCTCCTAGGTAAGGCTTATTTTGCTAACCGGCACATCTGTGAGATTTGCCATACCCTTATTGCTACACAGCAGTTCTGTTTTATGACTGTTATAATTTACCCATTCTGTTATTGCCACCATGTGGGCTATTTGGGTTATTTCACTTTGGGTTCATTATGAAGATTGCTGCTGAGACATTCTTGTTGCAATTTTTTAGTGTAAAAATATTCACTTTCCTACTAGGTGCAAACCTATAAGACTTTCTAGGACATAGGGCAAGCATATTAACTTTAGTAAATAACTGCCAGTTCTTTGCAATGCTTCTGCCAGTTTCATATTTTTAACAATAGTGTGGATGATTTCTAGCGTTTTGATGTTTACCAATACTTGGTATTGTCAGTTTTAAAAATTTGTCATTATTGGGGCTGGAGAAATGGCTCAGCAGTTAAGAACACTGGTTGTTCTTGCAGAAGACCCGGGTTTGATTTCCAGAATCCACATGACAGTTAAAATAATAAATAAAATATATTTTTTTAATGTGTCATTATCATGGGAATATAATAACATCTTATTGTGGATTTAATTTGTATTTGACTTTTTTTCTTGCTATTGTTTCCTAAACAACAAAGTATAAACTGTTTTTATAATGTATAATATTTACATTGTATTGTGTTATCAATAGTCTAGAGATAATGTAGTCTATAGGAGGTTGTAGGTTATATGTAGATACTATGCCCTTTCAGGCAAGTGACTAGAGTATCCGGAGATTTTAGTATTCACAGGGAACCCTAGAATCACTCTCCCTTCAACGCTTGTATTAGACGCTTGAAAATCTTCTGAGTGTGCTTTGCAAGGCTTTTGCAAATTTTTTTTTTTTTTAACAGTTCAGGTAGCACTTTAATCCCTTGAATGTGTTTAAAAAGAGTATTTCCGGGGCTGGAACGATGGCTTAGCAGTTAAGAGCACTGACTGCTCTTGCAGAGGACCCGGGTTCGATTCCCAGCACCCACATGGAAGCTACGAACCATCCTTAACTCCAGTTCCAGGGGAATCCGAAGCCCTCTTCTGATCTCTGTGGCATTGCACAACATGGGTGCACTCACATACATGCAGGCAATACACTCATACACATAAAATAAAAATAATAAAATAAACTTTTTTTTTTAAAGAGTATTTCCATAGAAGATTGCTAGACCTTTCACAATCTGGGGATGGTCAACAAATGATCAAGCGGAGCCCATGGAAACTTGATGCAATTTGATAGTTTACCATGTAGAAGCCACCATCCACAGGAGAAAGCCAGAAATTAGTATCAGAAATGGATGATTGTAGACCTGACCCTAGGCACATGAGATGCTGTCTCCCATTTAGGAACAGTAGTGAAGGCAGAGTACAGGACATCTTATTTTGTCTGTTTGCTGAGGGGAGAGTCCCTCCTCCACCATTGGACACTCAGAAATCTTACTTGGGAACAGATTTTACTTATCTCAGTGCCCAGGTACAAAGATATATGTAGGACTGTCCCAGTCACAGGAGAAATAAGCTTCCCAGAACCAGGAAATCCAATGCCTCTGTTGCTTGGAGACCTAGGGCTGCTGTAGCCACACTGAGGGAAACCCAACCTAGCTGTTGCTTCTATACTAGCTTCTCAGTGGAATGTGGAGACCTGTGATGTAGAGGATGCAGAGCCTACAGACAGCAGGTGATGGCAACAGCAGTGGCCTTTCATCCTTATACAAAAGGAAAAGAAATTACACACCCACATGACATAGATTATATGTCTGTAATTACAGATGTTTGCCAACAAATCCAGTTCACCTCTTGTGGCACCCTCCCCCTAACACTACATTCCCTCTACACAAGAGAAACTGGTTTTTATTATTTATTGGTATTATATTTTGAGAAAGGGTCTCACAATATAGTGCCTGTTGGCCTGGAACTCACAGTTGTCTGTCTGCCTCTGCCTTCTAAGTGCTGGGATTAAAGCCATATGTCACCGTTTTTGCAAAATTTTTGTTACTTATAAAATTAAGAATTTTTCACCCTCCAAGGCTCAGGCACTTTTGTGGAAGAGGTTGGCAAAAAAAAAAATTAAGAGCCTGAGGAAGGGGTAGAGTGTTTCCTGGAAGTGTCCTCCGACCACCATGCAGCAAGCTATAGTCACACTTCCTTCCCAGCTCCTCAATGCATCAAGGGGGAGTCAGTTATTCCCCCCACCCAATCACTGGGCCTTAACTGCATGTGGGGGAGGGGATATACAAGCCAAGACTGCCATAAGGCACCTTTCTGGCCATTTTGTGCCCCTGTTATGAAGTAAATGGGGGGGTATCCAATCTTCTGTAAATAACCCCTAACCTATTTCTGTTAACAAGCCTAGTAATAGGATTTAAAAAAAAAAAAAAAAAAAAAAGAACAGATCTAATGGAAGCCTTCATTATTCCTCAAAAATGGACCTCATGTTAGCAAATCCTTTGGTCTTTGATTGTTTATATTGCCTATTCCTACCTTTCTCCCCTTAAACTTCATTGTATAAATATATTTTTATGTAACCTGCTTCAAGTTATTTCTGGAAATATGTGTTAAAAAATGCCTCTCTGTGGAATAATAAAAGTACCCTAAAACTTAAAAAAAAAAAATTAAGAATCTTTTTCCTTGCATATTTTGGATATGAGTTCTTTGAGTATATGTATTAGATCTTTCCTTAGACTATGGGTTGGCTTTCCATTCTCTAATGGTATCTTGTGAGGAAAAAATCTTTTTTTTTTTTTTTTTTTTTCTTTGAGACAGGGTCTCCCTGTAGCCCCAGCTGTCCTGGAACTCACTATACAGACCAGGCTCGCCTTGAACTCACAGAGATCCACCTGCCTCTGCCTCCCAAGTGCTGGGATTAAAGGCGTGCGCCACCACGCCCAGAGGAAAAATCATTTTTAATGAACCCCAGTTTAGAAATCTAGCTTTATACTTTGTGTTCTTGTTTAATAAACCTTTGTCTAACAAAATAATGATGATCTGTGGTTTTTAAGCTTTGTTGTTTTATCTTTTAGAATTATAGACTTTGTAGAATGGCTTTTTCTATGTGTTGTGTGATAGAAGCCATGTTTACATCCCCTCCCCATACGGCTACCAATACATCCAGCATGTCTTGAAAGATCTCTTTTCTCATTGTATTGTACAGTGAGTATGTTTATGGATTTTGTTTTGTTCCATTGGTCTGTCAGCAGGCTTGCTTGCTCTTTTTATTTTTTGAGACAAGGTCTTTCTGCAGCCCCAACTAGCCTGGAACTCACTATGTAGATGGCGGCGGGGAGCCAAATATTTTAGGCTGTGATCTCTGTAGCAGCTACATAGCTTGCTGTTGTTTGTATGAAAGATACATGCAAAATATGCATGATGTGAGCTGGTAAAACCTTATTTACAAAAACACCCCATTGGACATGTGGCATAGACCTTGTAATATCACTTGGGAGGCTAAGGCAGGAAGATCCAGAGTTCAAGACCAGCCTGGGCTATGTATCATGACACTGGCTGGGCTTGACCCCCACAAAGTGTATGCAATTTGGTGACTGCTGAAGTGTGATATTGTGTTTTAGATGTTTTTCCTATTTGTGTGTTGTGTTAGATAGACCTATGTTTGGCCTTATATGGCAACTTTGCTAAATCCACTAGTAATTCTAAGTTTGTCTCTTTATTCTGTTCTAGGGCTTAGACTGCACATTGCTTTTGTTCATATTTCAAATATGTCATTCTTTTGTCTCTAGGTCCATAACTCCTCTCATGGGTAGGTATTGGTCTTATTAGGTGGTAGTCTTATTGCCTTAATGTCATCTTTTTTTTTTTTTTTTCCTGCAGCTTCTTTAAGATTCTCTGTCTTGTTTTTCAGCAGTTCTATATCATAATATTGTCATAGGTGGTATTTTATTTTGCTTGGCATTTGTAGAGCCTCTTGAAGTTTTTCATCTATTGAAAACTTTGAGCATTATCACTCCAAGTAATGTGTCTGCCGCATTCTTTACTTATCTCTAAGGTTCCCCATGGATTTTTTTTTTCCCTGTCACCTATTTCTTTAACTAATTTTCTAATCTTATTTTTGCTTTCATGCTTGTTTTAATGTGAATATGAAAATATATCTATATTTCATTGCATTTATTCACCTTTTCTTAATAATTGGCTCTTTTTAAATGTTTTACTAGCATATACTAATCATATATAATAATGGGTTTCATTAGGATGGTTTATAAGTATATTTACTATACCCCTGTTAGCCATTCTTCTTCCACTCCCCCTGATCTCTTTCCTCTTCTCCAGTAGCCCCCCTTCTACTTTCATGGGTTGTTTTTTGAGGGGTGATCCAATGAGTTTCATTGGGGTTGTTTACAAGAGCATGGGTGATGGTTTGTCTACAGGAGCATGGGCACCTTACCTGTGGCTACACCACTGAAGAAAATGTCTCTCTCCCATGGATCCTAACTGTGTATAAATCCAAAGGGAAAGGTGGCTCTCTCTGAGCCTTTCTCCTTTCCTTGATAGGATGTTGATAGGATAATTGACTCTTAAGCCTAAATACCTAATTTTAGTTACTGATTTTTTGTTTGTTTGTTTTTTTGGTTTTAGTTCTTTTAATTCTTTTGTATGGATTCCAGGTCTTTGGTATGAGTCCTCTGTCTTTTAACCTATTTTAATGTCTTGCCTGAAAACTCAGATAGTTGAGTCCTCTTTCATCGGTTTCTCTTGTCTTTGTCCCTGAGTAGTTTTGTTTTTATTTTAAGACAGGGTCTCACTGTGTAGCCTGGCTGCCCTGGAACTCATATGTAGACCAGCCTGCCTTTGCCTCCCTAGTGTGAAGTTCTGGAATTAGTAAATGCCAGGAGGCCATATTGCATGCAGAATATTGACTTCCCTTTCCGGTGGGATCTTGGCTGCTGTGGTAATGTTGGTTGGTCTTCAATTTTCCTCTCCCCAGGCAGTGAAAGTGCACCTTAAAATGCAGATCAACAAATGCTCTGAGGGGAGGAGCTGCAGGGAAAGCCAGCTTCCTTCAAAAGCCTTTTTCTTTACTTTGAATCCTGTTTGGGTTTTCTCTAATACCTTCAGAGCATGTCCTGTTTGCTTGCTTGTTCAGTTCGCTTGCTTGTTGGGGTAGATTCTCCAGCTGGCATACTTACCTCAGAGGAAAAGTCAGCCTGATACCATCTGCTAGGCTGTAGCTAGAAGTGCAAGTCTTGGGTCCTGGCTGTGGAAACCCTGCAGTCTGGCCCAGACTAGCTTTTCCTGCTTTGCCTTTTCATAGCCAACTGTTTTGTCCACCCTGTGTTCTCCCTAGACTTTGCCCATACCCTTTCCTTCCTCCTCTGCAGTCTTCTCCATTACCCCAGAATCCCAGCTGGTCTTTAGCTAGCAGTTTCTCCTCTAGATTCCTCATCATGACTACATCCTCCCCCTCTGCTGTAAATTCATAGCACCAACTTAATGGCCATGGTAGCACCAGTTGCTTGGTGCCTCACATAATAAAGAAGCTGTATTTGCTTTTATGTAGTTGAATGATAGAGACTTTGTGGCATACCCTTTTGTATCTAGTAATATTTGCTGCCTATCTTGCAGGTTAAAGCATGTTCTGCCAACGTGGAAACTAACCAAACAGCGGAGATCAGTGAGCAGCAAGTTTTGGAAAAGCAGAAAGAAAACGTGAAAGCCATTCTCCAGGCATATCGTTTTACAGGTATGATTTCTTTTTTCTGATCTGACTCATTCACCCACTTTCTAAGAACTTACCTTGTACCCCTGCCCTCCCCCATATACACACAAAGCTGGCATGCTGGTTTGTAGGTATATCTTTATCTTTAAGATTGGCCTCTTTAGACAATAAAGGTTGGTTGGTGGACGGCTGAAGCCATTCCTTTTGTAGTCATTGTTGCTGGTCCTGTACTTGTGCTTCACTTACTGCTTGCCTGCTTTATGTTAGTGTCAGATTGTTTTAGCTCCTCAGATCTCTCTGTTTCATCCTAAATAGGGATTTGTTCTCCATCTATGCCAAAGAGGACTATGGGAAGAACTGGGGACTGTCACAAATTGGTGTTCAGGGAAGAAAGGAGGAATATGTGAAACAAAATTTTCAATTTTTTTCCTCAGTAATTTGATATTTAGGGTATCTTCTCATTCTTCATTCTTCCATGGTTTTTTTGGAGTGTGTTGTTGTTGTTATTTTGGAGTGTTGTTGTTGTTGTTGTTGTTGTTATTGGAGACAGGGTCTTCCTGTAGCCCCAGCTGGCCTGAAACTCACTATGTAGACAAGGCTGTCCTCGATCTCATAGAGATCCACCTGTCTCTGCCTCCCAGTGCTGGCTTCTTCCATGGTTTTAACTCCTCATGCTCATATGAACCAGATGACTCTGATCATCTGGAGGCGGTGCCTCTGACACCCATTCATTCAGGCTGCACTTGTGCACATTGTGCCTATGTGCCAAGTCTTGTGCTGGCTGCTGGTATGATGTGGGACCTTTGCCTGGCATCTACTAAGAGGTGCTGTCTCATTGTTTGCTAGGGCTCAGTGGGAAGTTGACCAGCCGTGGAGTCTGTGTGTGCATAAGTACTGCCTTTGAAGGGAACCTACTGGATTCCTTCTTTGTGGACCTCGTCATGGAGAAACCACCCTGGATACATCACCATTCCATCCCAGTCTTCATCCCTCTAGAAAAGATAGCTGCAGCGTACCTCCAGAGTGATCTTCAGCGTTTCCTGTTCAGTCTCTGTGAATACGTAAATGCTTATTCAGGGAGGAAGTACCAGGCAGACAGACTTCAGGTATTTGTGTAGAAATTTATGTATCTCGTTATATTGCCCATGACTGACTTCAAAGGAACAGGTTTCATTTGCTTGTTTTTGAGACACAATTTTGCTACTCTAGCTGTCCTAGAATTTGATATATGGCTCAGGCTGACCTTTAACTTGTGGCATAATTCCAGCCTGTCTCCTAAATGTTGGGATTACATATGTGTACCTCCGTGCCCAGATTTATTTTTATTATTATTTTATTTTTATTTTTATTTTTTGGTCTTTTTGAGACAGGGTCTTCCTGTAGCCCCAGCTGTCCTAGAACTCACTATGTAGACCAGGCTGGCCTTGAACTCTGCCTCCCAAGTGCTGGGATTAAAGGCATGGGCAACATGCCTGGCTATTTTATTATTTTTATCTATACTTTTTTAAAAAACAGTGCTGGAGATTGCCTTGCACATCCTGGGTAAGTGCTCTACCATTGACCTACTGTCCCAGCACTTTAAAAAATATTCTCAAATTTTATTTATTTAATGTGTATGAGTATTTTATCTACCATGTATGTAAATGCACAGTGTGCATGCAATGCCCAGAGGCCAGAGGAGGGCATTGGATCCTCTGGAACTGGAGTTATAGACAGTTGTTAGCCTCCATGTGGGTGCTGGGAACCAAACCCAGGTCCTCTGCAAAGAGCAGCCAGTGTTCATAACCACTGAGCCATCTCTCCAGCGCGCACACACACACACACACACACACACAAAGCATTCTTTTTTAATGTTTTCTAACTCCAAACCAGAAGTTTGTCCATTACCTTTCTCCCCTTTCCTCCCCCTCCCTCTCTCTACCTTCCTATACCCACCCTCTTCCCTTTCCCCTTCCTTCCCTTCCCCTCAACCTTTCTCTCTTTCTCTCTCTCTCTCTCTCTCTCTCTCTCTCTCTCTCTCTCTCTCTAGCTCACCTGGAACTCACAATGTAGTCCAAACCACCCTCAAACAAAAGAGCAATCTTTACCTAGGCCTTAACTGTTGGATACAGGCATTTGCCATCACACTCAGCTTATCTATTGCCTTACTAATACTTATTTCTTAGATACAGGCAACTTCCCTGTCTTTATTTCGTAGCCTTTTGCAGCTTTCAGTGATATTAAGAGGTGGATCCTAGTTAAGGGATAATGCAATTCCTAATTCTCAAACTTTTATCACAAGGTGGAGTGTGTTGCTATGCTGTTAATGCTCAGCATGGATTTCGAGTTTATATATTATGAGCTAAGTGTTGCTGAACCTTAGGTATAGATGCAGAGGACCACAGAGGAATGCTGTGTATCTTATGAACTCTGGCCTGCCTTCTTAGAGTGGCAGTTTAACAAAGTTTATGATGGAAACCATAGATAGGGAAAGAAGTGACTCTAGCTTGGCAATTCCACCTCTATCTAGGCATCAGTTAAACTAAAAGTCTTGCTGATGTCAATGAAATTCTTGGTAGAAATGGTATCTGCATCTGTTCTCCTGGTCATTCACTGTTCTTGACTTCATTATGTAGCCAAGGGTGACCTTGAACTTCTAATCTGGCTTAGGTAGTGCTGCTAACCTAGGGCAGCATGGATAAGCACTCCACTAACTGACTGCATCCTCAGCCCTTTGTCTTTCATTGGTCCTTTTTTCAGGGCTTTTTCTGTTCCTCTTCATTTCTCTGAAATTTAAGTAATGGGCCCTCCTTTTAGTAGACTTGTTTAAAGTGTTACAACCACTGCCTCTGGAATAGTAAGCATCAGACACTCTTTGTTCCTCACCTGGGTAGAGTGACTTTGAAGCGCTCCTGACTGTACCCTTGCAAAGAAACTCCCTGTGCAACTTGCTGTCATTTACCTACAAAGTGGATGGAAGGGATCAGTCTTTCTCCTTTAGTGCCAGATTGCTGTATGAGGACCTCACAGCGACTCTTCCAACTGACGTCACTGTTACATATCAAGGTAAGAAGATGCCTCGGTGGAGAACTTATATGCTCTAGTTTAAGCAAGTTGAGTGAAATATATAGAATATAACAAGTCTCCTTCAAGCTCTTTCTTGTGCCTACATGCTAGAAGTTTTACGAAGCTATAAAGAATGTTTTGTTTCTGCCCATTTTTCCTCTTTGTAAATAGTAAACATAATTGTCCTGGTTTTTCCCACTCCTTGCCCTCCCAGGTCAGCCCAAATTCTTTCAGTTTGCAATTTGTTTTCATGGGAGATCCTCTCTCAAAGACAAACAACTAAGGCTGAGTCTAGGGTTGTCTATGATGAATGAAGCCCAAAACAGCTCTCTAGAGTATATTCTGAAAATAGCAGTTTTTTTAGGACTGGCTGGGAGATTTTTTTTTTTTTTTAACTTGCTTAAATTAAATGTAACATAATAATTTGACATGGGCAATAATGAAAAAAATTATTAAAAATTTTTATTGTTTTTTTGGTCTTTTTGAGAATGGGTCTCACTGTAACCCTAGCTGGCCTGGAACTCACTATGTGGACCAGGCTGGCCTTGAACTCAGAGAGATCCGCCTGCCTCTGCCTCCAGAGTGTGCACCACTACACCCAATAAAATGTTTTTAAGAGGCAGATATTTTGATGCTGTCAAAAAATTTCATAGCAATAGTTTTAGATTTTTCTAGTCTGTGTAGATTTTTTTTCCATTTTATTAAAATTTAATTTATTTAACAGAGCATAAGGTAGGGATTTATTTACAGAAGAGTGGGCACCCCACATTTATGGCTGTGCCATAAAGCCCACACTCAAGTACAGATGACAGCCGCACAAAGTTTTTTCTTCTTCTTTGATTTATTTATTTTTATGGAGCTTTTGGCTACTCTAACATTCCCCCCTCTGAAGAGGTAACCCCAAAATCTTTTAAGGATTAGAGAAAAGCTCCCAAATACTTTGGACATTTTTGGCCTTTGGAATAGAGTATGTTCCTAAGAGGCCCAAGGACATTTTGACTTTTAGCCAAGAAACTGGCTACTTTTCTTTGGGGTCTTTTTACCGTAACTGCCTAGCCAATTCCTACCTCCTATTCTTATCACACCATCCTCTGAAGAGGTTACCCAAATTGCCAATAAGGAATTGGGACGCAGACCACTCTGGTTTCTTCCGTGCTGAACAGGAACACAGGGTGAGGCAATTGGAGTACCCTTTCAGTGGGTCTATCTAAAAGACTCCCAAATTGCATAAATCTTATCTCTTAAGGGGAAAAGAAAGTCCTAGAATCGTGAATAGGAGATGTGAAGAAGTAAAGGCGAGAGTAATTAGCATTACAAGTTCTCTGTCTAGATTTTCCTAAAGTCCCTATTTTTAAATTTTTTAAAGTATTTTTTGTTTTATGTGTATGAGTGTTTTTGCCTGCATGTATATAAGTGCACATATATAAGGCCAGAAGACATTGTATTCCCTGGAACTGTAATTACAGATGGTTGTGAGCCACCATGTAGGTATTGAGAGCTGAACCCAGGTCCTCTGCAAGAGCAGCCAGTGCTTTTAACCACAGAGTCATCTCTCTAACCCCAAAATCCCTGTTCTCAAATTGTATTGGTCTGATAAAGGGCAGCCTCTCCAGAGCTACAGACCAAAAAAAGAAAAAGAAGAAAAAATTACATGGGTCCAGAATAGTGTTGAACCAGGTCTGATTCCCCTGGTTAGACTAAGTGAGATTGACAGAATGCTGTTTTTTTGAAGGGATGGAGGCATCTACTCACTGGGAAGAGCATCGAGCATCCCATGAAATACTCTTCCGTACCAAGCCCCTGCATCAGGTGTTTGCTTCATTTTCAAAAGAGGTTGAAAAGCTGGATTTGAGCCTGGTCTCCTAAAATGCTGTTTGTCTTGGGGACACATCTGAAGTGAGTGTTCATAACTGCTCACAGTCCAGGGCCTAGAAGCAAGAACTGTGGAAATGCTCAGAGTCCTTCCCTGGGCACCACCCTGGCCTGGGCACCACCCTGGCCTGCTTCACCAGGATGACAAAGAGCATGCTGTGTCCACAGACCCAGGAGTTCTGAACGGTTCTGTGAATGCCTGTCACTTGTGACAGTTTTCAAGATCATCTACTCTTTTGAACATACCATGTATATTTTTGGTGAAAGTCAGCTAAACTGGGATAATTGAAGACATTTTGTGAAAAATTAAAGAGTATTTCTAGCTTTTGTGGAAGCTGTAATTCTACCTTGTTTTCCTCTCCTAGACTTTTGAAATGATGTAAGATGGGCATGTGGCTAAGAAGGGAACTGTGTTTAATCTTACATTTAGAACAGTACATTGTAGGTCACTATTTGATGTGAGGTATTTTTGATAGCTTTGGTTCTTTGTATTTAATATTTTGCTTCCTGAAACATTTTGGTAGAGAAATGGGTGCATGAAGTCAGTTTGAGAAAACAGGGTTTGACATCTGCACATGAATTAAGTTGTTGCAAAGGGAAGTGGGACACACACACACCCCAGTCATATCTCACACACACAGACACAGAGTCATATCTCCCTCCTGTAAGCACCGTGTCATGGCTATGGCTGTAACAATCTCCCCATTTCTAGCTGCTTTCATGCATCTTCTCTCTGTAACCGTGGGTCTCAGATGTGCTGGCTTGTATTGTTCCTTGGCTTAGGGCTACTTGACATCTGTTAAAACTTGTCTGGCTGGTCAAGTTCTCCTTATTATAACTCCTGTTCCTACTTCGCCTAGTCATAAATAAGAGCTGTACTCAGAGCTGCATTTAGGCTTCACTCTTGAACTGGCCACTTCCTAGACATTTCTATGTATGGGAGTTGCAGCAAACCCAGAAAAAATGCAGGGGACAGTAAGCCAGCTTGGGCCACCCTATGGAAAACTTGGAAGGTGTTTCAGTTCAGACTTTTGCCCTCCAGACATGTGGAAGGGACCAGTAGTTTGTGTCAGCAAAAGCAAAGTACTCGTTCATGTGTTAACAGAATTGTCACAACAGTCCCATCAAGTTGAGTAAAGCTTTTAATAAAACAGTCTTGTTCTTTATCAATACCTGTAAATTCTCTTTTAAAGCAGTAGCAAAGGCGACTGTAGCAAGAGCTCAAAAGGCAAGGCAATATCGGAAAGTTTTTTTTAAACAGGTTAAAAATATAAATGTAGAAGATCTGTTTATATATTTTTCTTTCAGAAATAACCCCTCTCCCCCCCACCAGGTGAAAGAAAATATTGCACTTACTGCTCTCATGACTAAGGTGACACGGGGTTCCAGAAGAACCTTTCAAGATTATCAGGAACATCAGGATAAGGGCCATTGAACCTAAGTCGACCATAGGGAGGCAACCAGGTCTCCATGGAGCGCTTCTCCTCACAATGAAAAGCACTGCCGTCAGTTCCAGATGGGAGTGGAGCAGTCTCCAGCAGTCTTGGGCCTGTTGAGCCCTCCTTTCAACAGAGCTCCCCTATGTGTATGCCCAGCCCAGCAGCTAAGGCAGCTTTATTCCACTCCTGCCGCAGTCCTGTTCACAGTGGCCATGGCCTCTCTAGGGGATGAAGGACTGAGTTGGAACAAAGGCTCTGGAAAGACCATTCCAAGACTACACCTAAGACCCCTACTCTGGGGAAGCTACAGGCATACTGAGGAGTAGTATGGCCACCCTCAGAGCTCACATCTCCACAAAGGAAGGCTTGAGGAATTTGAAACCTAAAGTCTATGGGAATGTGCACTTCAACAATTTGAGAACGCTGGGACTTGGTCATCTGCCCTTTCCCAAAGCCTTTCTTCACTTCCAAAAATTGACATCTCCCTTCCTATGGGGACCATTGTGGGCCAGAGGCCATCAGGAGTTGTCCACCACTTGGTGGGGCAGTGTAACAGAGGAGCCATTAGGGAAGGCAGCCGGCCTATCCCGGCCCTTCAAGAAAAAGGTCAGAAGCTCCCCTTTCCCTTTCACAAAGATGGGGCCTCGTCGTACAAAGCGGAAGCCATATTCTCGGAGGATGACTTGCGTTTCTTCTACCACCTGCACACAGAGAACAGAGACAGCTTGGGTCAGGAAGGAAGACAAGACTGATGGGTACAGGGGCTGTAGGTGGCTGGGGCTGAGGGATCCAGGCGGTACTAATGCTTTGGTGGTGTGTAGGCCCTGATCAGTGCTGAATATACAGTGCTTCTCCCCCAACCCCACATGGGGTAAGGTCCAGGGACAGCCATGGGACACTCATGTGGCAGACTACCGTGTCAGAACTCTTCCCCTCTGTTCTGTCTCTAAGCCCATTTTTTGACACTGATAGAGCTCAAGATCATTTCAGCAGAAGTTGCTATTGGTAGAAGATATAGACATTAAACGGTGGGCTCTTTTTTTACCTAGAACTCAATTCTAAATGTTGCAAATAAGACAAGGGCATTTTCTCCCTTGGTTAAGGCTTTAGAAGTCTCTGCACATGTGCATACTTGCCCAGCACTGCCAACTTAGCACTATGGCCCACGAGTAGGAGCAGTAATATATGGCAAAGCATTACTCTTCCCTTGGGTCATCCTCCCTGCATCCAAGCACGAGCTCAGTTCTGTTGCTGAACTTACCTGGATGTTACCCATGACCCCTGTGGACTCCATCCTGCTGGCCACGTTGACTGTGTTGCCCCAGATGTCATAGTGTGGTTTCCGGGCTCCAATGACTCCAGCAAGAACTCCTCCTTTGTTCATGCCTAGGTAGAGACAGTTAAGCACAGCCACGCACCAACCTTGTATTAGCCTCTCTGAAGCTACTAACTTTTCTTTAATAGATTACCATCTGACTACCACCACAAGGTTCCTGATCATATCATGTCTGAATTCCTCACTAAAGGAATTTTGCTTCTTTAAGGCAAAAATCATCTCTCTTCATCTGGTCTTCACTAAGACCTTGGCAGATGTCAGTGCTATTCATGATGTTAACGAACTTACTCGGGACTGTAGTGACTAGCTTCTCTGTAACCTTACTAGTATTTTGAGCTCTTGTAAGCACACCCAGAATCAATGAGACACCCCCGCCCCAGGAAGAGCAGTAGGCACAGAAACTATGGGCAGTCCAATAAAACTGGCTATTGGCCAGACTGAGCTGTTATCTCAAAGAGAAGTGAGCTAAAGATTCTTCGGGTCCCTTCTATTTCTGTGAGTGTGTGACGCTCCCTCTGCCCCCCACACACTCAATTTGCCTTAGCCTCCTAAGCTTCTGGTCTGCTGCTCACCCAGCATGGCCACAGTCCTTACCTATGCGCAACATGAAGTTGTTGAATGACTGGTTGTTGATGTTTGTAAGTGTATCCTTCATGGCTAGTGCAAAGTCCGCCAGGTCAGCCAGGTGCTGCCAGCGTTCCTTATCCGACTTCTCCTCCTGCATGGAGCAGAGGTGAGTGTCAGAGCTGCTAGCCGTGGTCTGCTCACTTGCATCCTTCCTATAGCTGCTGTACCTAGTTGCTAACACCCTTCTTCCTCCAAAAAAGGAAGCAGCCAGCTCTTTAGCTCCAGTGTCTCTGCTGCAGAGTTCATACATGTGTGCAGGGCAAAGACTGGGCCGTAGTGGTGAGAAAGATGGAACCCACCCAACTCAGTTGCAGCCTAATAACAAAACAGGATTTTTGCCCGTGTGTGACACCTCTCCCCATCTGAGCCTGGTCCTCGCTTAAGATTGTAAACACTTGAGGATGAGCTGCCTTCAGCCTGCTTCATTTACCTCATCCAGAAGGTGGAGCTGACAGCACTACTAATACAGGAGGTGTAAAGGAAAAACTAATGGTATGTTTTTAAGAACACTGCTTGGTACCAAAGTACCTGAAAACTAAGCAACAGGCACAGGTTTGCACAGGCTCCGTACAAGAAAAGGCTGAGAACCAGTGAGTTCCCAGGGCTCTCCTTAAGTTTTCATTGTTCCAGAACTGCTCTCCAGTTCTTGTGACAGTATAGAGCCTGAAGCGGGCATGGCCACCTTAGCCCTCCACAGTGGAACTCTAAAGGGTATTGTGTGTGTGCTGCTGCTTTTCCGCTCATTAGCCTTTCTCAGGAAACCTATGTCCACACTGTTTGTGCTGGTAGGGCAGACTTTTCATCTGATTCTCATTTCCCAGACTGAGCCTGGCTGCCAGTCTAACTCCTCTGGGCAGACCTGTACCTCTCCAGCCACTGAGGTACCTTGCTAATTATCTAGCAGTTGAGTTACCTTGCTGGAGCTGGTAAAGCCATTGGTGTTGACATCTGGGGTGACTCCTGAAGCTGCCATGTAGGTGCTGCCAATGGTTTTGATCTTGGTGATGACCCGGAATTTGGGATTATCTAAGAGCTGAGGCCAGGATTGAGGACAGAATTAGCAGAATCAAGGGAGGTAAATGAGCCAAGTAACAAGTTGCCTGCTGACAAGGATTGATGGTGCATCCAAGAGGTGCTATCCTGTGGCAGCTTTGCTTATCCCATGCTACCCTGCCACACAATTCTTGGTAAACTTCCTAACTTTCTGAGCCTCAATGTCTATACCCTTAACACTGAGATTAAGTGGCCAGTCTTCTTAGGTGGTGCAGCACATAAGGAAAAGAGCAGATAAATGTTTGCTGAGTATGGGTTTCAGGGTAGGAAGATCTAAGGAGACTCATCTGGTGTAACTTGCTTTGCTGGCCTCCGCAACGTGTCTTGGGATATGATCTAGGAAGAGCTAGCTCTGTGGCAGAGGGGACACAACGGACACTCACAGAGTCGAAGTCAGAGATGATCTCATTGAGGAAGCGTAGACACTCAATGCCACCATTATTGATGCTCTCCTCAGTGTAGAAGTCAGCAAAGTTGGGCAGGGAAGCGAACATGACTCCAATCTCATCGTAAGACTGGCTGTACAGCTCCTAAAGAGAGGCAGGGCCAGGCTAGGGAGATGGCTCGGGGGTGAGCACTTGCTGCACAAGTGTGAGGACCAGAATTCACATGTTGAGAACCCACATAAAAAGTCAGGCCATGGTACCAGCACCTTTCCTGGTCCTGAGGAGCCCTCTGGACCAGGTCCTGCCCTCATATGCCTTTGCTTCCTGGGCTACACAGCCTCCAGTGTCCTGGTACCAGCACCTCCCCTGGGTAAGTCCAGCACACCTTGACTCCCTCACCCTCTTTCACCCTCCCAGCTCCCCCAACCAGTCTCTCCTCCTAGGCTGGGTATTGGCCCATTTCTTGTCTGGGCACCCCAGACACCAGGGCTAACCTCTCGGCCCAGAGCCACCACTGCTTCCTGATCCTCTGCATCCAGACCAACCCATTAACTCCCTGCAGCCACCAGGAACCCTTTAGGCCTGGTCCCGACCTCACCTTCCTTTACTTCCCTAGGTGGCACAACCACCAGCTTCCTGAGACTAGCATCTTTCCTGGAAGGACCCAGACCTTAGGAGAAAGCCTGATATTATCTGAGCCTCATCTCACTTGGGCCTCTATGGGAACTCCTGAAGACAAAAGCAATTAGGCCACTCCAATATAAAATCAAAAGAGAGAACCTGAGGCCTAGACCAACCAGCTTTTCATGCCCAATAAGTAAACCACAAATCTAAACTCAACAAAGGAAGGCTTGAGTCTCACACAAGAGTCAGAAACTATGAAGGAAATTCACATGTCAAATCCACAAAGAAAAAATAATAACATGAAAAAACAAAATAATATATCTCCACGAAGTACCAGTAGTCCTCTAGAGGAGTACAATGAGAACTCCCTAGAGATAACACAGGACATGGAACTCAAAACAACAATTATAAACATGATAAAAGAATTCAGTGATCTTAAAAAAACAGGCAAACAAAGAAATCAAAGACCTGAGGGAAGATAGGGATAAACTTCTGAATGAATTCAGAAAAGAGTTAGAAATATTGAAGAATACTCAGGCTGAAATGAAGAAGAAAGTGAAACAGTAAGCCAAATAGAAACAATAGAAGAAAGCCTCACCAATAGGATGAGTGAAATGGAAAACAGTATCAAGATTGGAAGATAAAGTGGACGAATTAGACCACTCAAGCAAAGATTATGAAAAATTGAAAAATAACCACAAGAATGAAATATACAAGAATGGTGTGACACCATAAAAAAAACAAACTTACAAATTATAGGCATACAGGAAGGAGAAGAATCTCAAGATAATGGTATGGACCAGATCTTCAACAGGATTGTAGAAGAAAATTTCCCAAAACTGAAACACATGCCCATACAAATATAAGAAGCATATAGAACACCAAATAGACAGGACCAGAAAAGAAACTCTCCACGGCATATCATAGTAAAAACACTAAACGTTCAGAACAAAGAGAAAATACTGAAAGGTGCAAAAGAAAAACAACAAATCACATATAAAGGAAAACCCATCAGGATTACAGCTGACTTTTCAGTGCAAACTATGAAAGCCAGAAGAGCCTGGACCAAAGTACAACTCTAAATGACCACAGATGCCAGTCCAGATTACTTTACCCAGCCAAAATGTCTATCATGGTTGAAGT